CTCTAAGCTCCATTCCAACCCCTTAGCCAGCTATAAATCCCTGTTAAGATAGATACATCCCTGGGCAGGGACATCTTCCACTAGAAGAAGTGTCCTCTGTGCACCTCCCTGAGGGTCACAGACACCCTGTGAGGGTCTGGACAGCATCACTCACCCTCCAGCCTTAAATTATCTAAACCAGGGATAAAAACTCCGAGAAATGAACCATCTTCTCACTTCTGGATGCTGAGGAGCTACAGCCAGTGGAGGCTGGGAAATTCTTCAGTACCAGCACCACTGAAGCATGTAAGACCAGATTATTTGTGTTCCTGACTTGCTGATGCAAGATGAAAAATCCAGCAAACTGCAGCTGCTGAAATCAGCTCTTTTCTCCCCTTCCCTTCCCTTTCCCCTTCGCTGAGGTTAGTGTTTTGCAAAAGGTTTTTATATTCTGGGAGCTAAAACCTGTCCATTGCAATCAGACACAAAGCTCAGGGAGTTTGTCAGGCTCCTGTGTGCTGGGAGAGGCTTCCCAGCACAAAGAGCTGCACAAGCTGCAGCGATCAGAGTGTGATTGCTGTGGCTCACAGGGCTGGGAGCCACTCAGGACCTTGGGGCATCTCCCTGGGGAGCTGCAGCACTCACTCAGGGCAAGGCCATTTGGATTGATTCACCTAGAGCAAAAACCAGGATTTCAGCCCAGAAGAACCCAGATTTCGCACCCCAGATAAGGGAAGGGCATGGATGGAGCCCTCGCTGGGAGCTGAGCTGAGCTGAGCTCCTACAGGGACACACAGGAGCTTGGGGGCACATCCTTGTCACTTTGTGCCCTCAGAAGGACAGGATGGAATGTCCTCCCAGCCATGGGGACCCCCAGGTGATCCAGATCCTGACCAGTGGTTAAAATCCCCTTGCCCAAAGCATCCAGAACACAGCCACATCCAGAACCACTCCTGGTCAGGATGGAGGAGCTCAGAGGGCACATCCTGGTCCCTTTGTGTCCTCAGAAGGACAGGAAGGGATGTCCTCCCATCCATAGGGATCCCAAGGTGACCAAAACTCTGCCCAGTGGTGGTTAAAACCTCCCTGTCCAAAGCATCCAGAACACAGTCACATCCAGAATCTCTCCTGCTCAGGGGCTGTTATCCCCCACCTTTGTGCCCACTGATGGGCCAGAGCTGGTGTTCAACCCCCACGGAGCCACCAGCCCTGCCTAGCTGGAAAACAGCAGCAGAAAACCATGAAAACCTCCAGACTGACTCTTTTCCATGTTGGATCATTAGTTTTCCCTCTCTCCCAACTCCTCTGCTTGTTTTGGGTTGGAAGCAACATGACCTTGGGGTGGATCATGTCCTGCAGCAGCAGCAGCTCCTGTACCCAGCTCAGCAGCACAACAATGCAGCAAAAACCTCCCTGGAAAGTCCTAGCCCAGCAGAGAGGGTTTTCCCTCATTAGGCTTTGAGCTAGGAGGGTTAATTACACTGCCAGGCCAGGCAGGAGCATTAGCTCATCTCCTGTCACCTCTGGGTTCGGGAGTATTTGTAGATCTGCGCTGAGTCCAATGCCCTCCTCAGTCTCCTGTCAGAAAAGGATGAGCATCAGGCTGTGATGCCAGCCCAAAAAACACATGGAGCAATGAGAAATGCCATGGCAGAGCCCAACCTTGCCTTGCCCACAGCCACAAGGGATAAGGGGACATCATAGAGGGGTCTCACACTCAGTTGCTCCTGGGTAGATAAAGGGAGCAGATGGGATCCTTCTCCAGAAAAACCAGATCCAAGGAGTGCATCCATGCCCTGGAATGCCTCATCATGAGAAGAAATCACCTGAGGTCACAGCAAAACTCTCCAAACCAATTCCCAAAGCTGGACCCATCAATAAATACGAGATCTGGGTGTTTTGCAGAGCCATCCAGGCAGCATCCATGCTTCTCCCAGCAAAACACATTTCCACCTTGGAGCAAACAACCAAAGCAGCTGCTGCACCTTCCCCCTTTGCTGCTTCACCTCCTTCTGCTGGAATTTCATTTCATGCAGGAACAGGCTCAAAATTAATGCTCAGCAGCTCTCCAGCCCCCCCAGCACTGACAACACAGGTTCTCCCTCTCCATGAGCAGAAGCATCAGCAGCATCCAGTGTCGGAGTGAGCTGATGAAGAGGTGCTGCCATTCAATGGGATCTTTTATTCATAGACATTGGCTTATTGTATTACTTTTTGATAAAAAGCCACATTGCCACGTTTCAAACATCTTTGCTTGCAGCAGGAGGAAGACCTGAAGCTCTTATTTATTTCAGCACGGAGCGCTGGGAAACTCCATCACCTCCATGGCAAAAAGCAACTCCTCCTCAGCTCACAGAGCCTTTAAGAGGCTTCTCCAGCCCCCAGAGGGTGACAGAGGGGTTTGGTTGGATGAATAATGAGTTTCATAATGGAACAGAAGCCTGAGCTCCCAACTTTGCTCCTCCACGGGGAAGATTTCACCAGCCATCAAGTTCTTTGGGGATGCTGAAAGCACAGGGAGGGATTTTGCTGCTTGCAGGGCACAGGTGGCCCCTGACACAGTGCCCTTTGCACCTTCAGCCCTCCACAGCTTGGGGAGATGGAGCAATTCCAGGTGGGAATGGAGCCAGCATGTTCCCCAAGGACTCAGCTCCACTGCTCACAGCAGCAAGGCAGCTCCAGCCCTGTCTCTTTGGGTCTGCTCCATAGATCTCCCCCTGGGCATTGCCCCACTGCAGCCTCCCGAGCCAAACACAGGGACAAACAGAGCTGTGGCTTTGCACTGGGGGTTTGGAGGAGATCAGGGCTCAGGGTGGGGTGAGGGGCTCAGCCAGCAATCCCCAGACCTGCAAACCACACACAGCTCAGCACAACCCACAGGTTCACTCCAGAGCAAGGGAACACCCTCAAGACCACATCTCAGCACCCCAGCCTCACCATGAGTAGACAAACCCCATCAAATCTTCCCTACTTCATGCACAGAACACAGTTCTGTAGGAGATCTAGTTGGCAAATCCCATGTGGCACTGGGAAAAGGCAACAAGGTTGGAATGATATGATCTTTAAGGTTCCTCCCAACCCAAACCATTCTGTGATGAACTTGCAATAGGATCATATAACAAGAGCATGGCAAACCCATCTATAACTCCACATGATGTTCCCCAGGTCCCACTCCCAACCCAAACCATTCTACGATGAGCTTGGAATAGGATCTTGCAATAAGAGCATGGCAAACCCAACCACAACCCCACACAACTCTCTTCAGTGTTCTCCAGGTCCTGCTCCCAACCCAAACCATTCTGTGATGAACTCGGAATAGGATCATACAACAAGAGAGCACAGAAAACCCAACCACAACCTTCCTTGATGTTCTCCAAGTCCTCCTCCCAACTCAAACCATTCTGTGATGAACCTGGAATAGGATCGTACATCAAGACAGCATGGCAACCACAACCCTCCTTGATGTTCTCCAAGTCCTACTCCCATCTGGAACGCTCCGGGAGATCCCAGCACAGCCCTTACCTGCAGAGGTGATCCGTGCGGCAGGTGTTGCGCAGGTCCAGGCAGTTGGGCTTCTCCTTGTCCTCGTAGGAGCAGGAGGGGACGATGGTCTGGCGGCGGCGCTCGGCGCAGGCCTGGTCCCTGCAGGAGCAGAAGAGCAGGCGGTAGGTGTACTCGCTGGGCACGCGGTCGAAGAACTGGCGCAGAGCCTTGTGGCACTTGCGGCGGCTGCAGTGCTCCGTGGCCGAGATCTCGCGGCTGCACGTGGAGATGTAGCCCGAGCGCAGGCGCTTGCAGTTGTCGTTGAGGTTGCAGGCCTTGGCTGCATCCAGGCAGTGGTTGCTTTTGGAGGTGGTGGCAGGGTCCATTCCTGCCCAAGAGAGACAGGGAGAGGGGGTGAGGGTGGTGCTGAGGAGTGGGGAGATGAGCTTAACCTCGGGAGATGCTCTTGCCCTGGGAAGGTGTCTCTTGACCTGGGGAGATGCTCTCAACCTGGGGAGATGCTCTTGACCTGGGGAGATGCTCTCAACCTGCCAGATGTTCTCAAGCTGGGCAAGTGCCTCTCAACCTGGGGAGACATTCTTGACCTAGGGAGATGTTCTTGACCAGCCAGATGTTCTCAACCTGGGCAGATGCCTCTCAACTTGGGGAGATGCTCTTGACCTGGGGAGATGCTCTCAACCTGCCAGATGTTCTCAAGTTGAGCAGGTGCCTCTCAACCTGGGAAGACATTCTTGACCTGAGGAGATGCTCTCAACCTGGGGAGATGTTCTCAACCTGGGCAGGTGCCTCTTGACCTGGAAAGATGCTCTTGACCTGAGGAGATGCTTTCGACCTGGGGACGTGACTATCTCTTGCCCTGGGAAGGTGTCTCTTGACCTGGGGAGATGCTCTCAACCTGGGGAGATGTTCTCAACCTGGGCAGGTGCCTCTTGACCTGGAAAGATGCTCTTGACCTGAGGAGATGCTTTAGACCTGGGGAGATGCCTCTCAACCTGGGGAGATGCTCTCAACCCTGGTAGATGCCCTCAAATCTGAGGAGATGCCCTCAAATCTGGAGAAATACCCTCAAATCTTAGGAGATGCATCTCAACCTGGAATGATGCTCTCAACCCTGGGAGATGCCCTCAAACCCAGGGAGATACATCTCAACCTGGGGAGATGCCCTCAACCTCTGGAGATGCCCTCAAACCTGAGGAGACACACTCAAAACTGGGGAGATACCCTCAAACCCAAGGAGATGCCCCCAAACCTGGGATAGGGAGATGCCCTTGACCTGAGGTGATGCCCTCAAACATGGGGAGATGCTCTTAACTCAAGGAGATGCTATAGGGAAGGAGATGGCATTGGTGTCACTCCCCTGGCATTGGTGTCACACCCTTGGCATGTCCAGCATAGCCCATCTGTGCCCTGCTGGCAGTGAGGAATGGGCTGGATGGTTCCTCCCCTGGCTCCATCCTTACCCCCCTGCACAATTTGGAGGTCCTCATCCAGCACAGAAAGGGTTAATGCAGACCAAAATCAGGGAGACCTGGTGACACAGTCTCAGTGCATAATTCATTCCCTGAATTTGCAATATTTTTTTCCCTCTGTCAATTATTCAAAGAATAATTATTCATTATTCAGCCCATTCCAAAGCAGAATCAGCTGCCAAACCACACAGGGTCCCCAAAGCCTCTCCTGAGGCTCCTCAAAACTGGGACAGCCCCAGACATATCCCTCAGGCAGAAATGATGAGGACAAGGCTGCCAGTGGGTCCAGGCACTGCATCCTGATCCACCCTGGGATCACAGCCCTCAGGGAGAGCAGGGACAAAGCCAAACCACAGTGTAGGAACACTCTGTTTGCTCTTCTTTTGGTCAAAGTGATGGATCACCCTCAGAAGTTCAGGGGCTGCTTTTGAAGCCATCTCATCCCTCATTTCATCCCCTCCACAGCCCAACCAAGTCCTCCTTGTCTCCCAGATTCCATGGGCAAAGACAAGCAGCAGCACCAAGGTGTAACTGATGTATTTGTAGGGTGCTGCTAATTAGCAAAGGGCAAATACCTGGGCAAGCATCAGCCCCCACCTCCCTCTGCCACCCACAGCCACCCCCAGCAGTGTTTTGGGGGGTCACTTGCAGCACAGGACCCCAAATTGTCTCATTTTCCTTCTGCCTCCAAGCCAGGGACCAGCAGGATGGCACTGCCTGCATTAAGGGATCCTGATTAAAAGGTGCAGCTCCTCCCAGTGCCACCCCATGCAATCCTGCCCCACATCCCACTGCCCTTGGGGGACTGTTGGGGTCTCAGTGCCACCAGTGACAGTTGAGGAGGGTCCCCATCACCCAGGACCAGCACCATTGGGCTGTGGTGCCGTGAGCTGAGGGGGTAAAGCTGTTTGGAAAAAGCACTTGACATTCCAAAGGTGTCAGGCAGTGATGGCCACCCCACGGAGATCTTGGAGACAGCCAAGCCCCAGAGATGGGATGGGGCAGTGATTGCTGTTTTGCAGCCTGGATTCCTCCAGTTGAGGATGGACACAGCTCATGACACTGATGTCAGGAGAGCAGAAGGGGGAAAAGATGCTTCAGGAGGTTCAGGATACATGAATCTCTTCCCTCCCTACCCATCAGCTCCTGGGATGCACCAAGCACTCTCCACACCCAGCAGCTACCCCAGCTCCAAGCCCTGGAAGTGGTTAACAGCAGATTTCCAGCACAAACTTGGGATTTTGGGATCTGTGCAAAGTGCTGGCTTATTGTCTAATCCTCTGGAGCTTCACTCCTGCCCTGCCCAAGACCTGCAGGGACCTGGATGCATTTTAATAGAGCCAATGCTTGAAAGCTCTGAGTTTCTGGGGAGCTCATTAATAAAGTACAAGCATGAAAATTTCATGAGGAGAGAAGGAAATAGGGGGCCAAGGGGTTGGGGAGGGGACCTGGTGCCACCAGCTGTCCCCTCTGCAGACCCTGGTGGCCTCTCAGTGCAGGACAGGGGCAGAGGAGGAGGAGGAGGAGGAGAAGGAGGGGGAGGAGGAGGAGGAGATGGAGAGAAGGGCAGTGGGGAAGGCAGCACTGCTGGGCTGAGTCTGGGGGTCTGATGCCCATCCAGCTCTTGGCTCTTGGTGCCCCCAGGGCTGGAATCCTACACAGATCCTCCTCCTTCTTCCCAGAGCTGTAGTTTGGACTGAGGTCCAACACCACTTGGCACTGCTGAGCCTCCTGGGATTCTCTGCTCCAGCGTGGGGTCCTGGAGCACAGACCCCCAAGAGTGGGCAGGAACACAGTGCTGACTCTCGTGTTCACTTACACAGGGTTTACACAGGTTTTACACAGCCCCTTCCTTCCAGCAAGGCCCTCTAATCCCTCCCTATCCCCACAGGCAATTAGCAGCTCTGCCTCTGCCTTGTTCTCCACAAACAGCACTAACAGCTCATTTGCTGCAGCTCTTGGGCTCAGGTCGGGGCTGGAGGTCCCGAGGGGGCACCTGCTCCTGCTCACACTGCTCCAACCCCAGCAAGGAGGTGGAAAGGGTGGAAAAAAAGCCTCGAGGCCACCCTGATAGCCACAGCACACCCTGGAGCATAACGAGAGCCTGTTCTCCCCCTTCCCCCAGCCCCAAATTGCCAGCCAAGGCTTCCTGCGCCTCTCGCTTTGCTTGTATGAATAAATCAACCCGAGAGCGCTTAATCCCCCACTCCAGACTCTTTGCTTTTCCGACTTTCCAGCAGCTAAAATATTTCCTTGACGCTAATGTAATCCAAAAAGGCGTGAGGGAGACGGGAGGGGGTGGCAGCATCATCCCAAACCGGCGCTGAGCTCCTGGGAGGGAGCCTGGAAAATTCACCTCGGGTGCTAAAATCCCAGCGGGTGTCAGCAGAGAGGGGATGTGTCCTCACAGCTGAACTCAGAGGGGTCCCTAGCTGAGCTGGGGGGGCTGCAAGCACAGGGGAAAAGCCCTGGGGTGTCCCCAAGGAGCACATAACCAGGTGTGGGGACACAGGGACCCCCAAAACCATACAGTGTGGTGGTTTTGGGGAAAAGATTAAGAGAATGAGAAAGGAGAAGCCAAAGCACTGCTGACCTAATTTGAAAAGGGGATGGGGGGTGGCACAGGGAAGGTTGTCATGGAAATAGATGGCACGAAAAAGTTCCCGAGGATGGTGGAAGAGTTTGGGTTCCCCAGAGGAGGATGTGGAGGCAGAGAGATGCTCCAAAAGGCTCAGCATCCTTCTCCCAGCAGCATCCCAGAGCTCAGCTCGAGTCACTGCCCCAGGGAGGGAGAGCAAACAAGGTCCCTCTCACATGGGGCATCCTGAGGGTCCCAAATTTTCCAGAAGAGAAAGCATCTGGCACAGAGGGAGAGGGTCTGGACCCCTCCAGAGCCCCAGGCTGTGCCTATGCCTCTTCTTCCTTCCCTGTCTAGTGCTGGGGACAAGACAAATGAGGGAATTAGGAGAATTTCAGGCTTTCCACCCCACATCAATGATTCTGTCTAAGCCCATGGCTGGAATCAAGGTAAAAGCCTAAATCCCATCCTGGGAAGGTCTGAAACAGAGAGATCTGCACCTAAAATGCACCAAACCCCATCAGCACTCAGTATCCTGCCCCTACATCCCACTCCAACATCCCACAGGACGATATGTTCCTCCAAAGTGATGCTCAGGGCATCAGATTTGGGGTGATGGGAGGACAGACAGGAGGAGAGTGGCCAGAGGAGCAAAGGGCAAACCCAGGGGAAGGAGCTGAGGTATTTCTCACCAGGAGCTCAGTGGCAGGTCTGTGTTGAGGGAGGAGAGGATAAAACAGCTGAAGCTTGTTGCTTTTATTACCTGAGAAAATTGAAGCCAGTCTGAATATATCAGAGAGACGAGAGGTGACTGGCTCGTACGGGGAAGCTTCATAAAATTCTTCTCCTACAGTGCCAGGGAAGAAAGAGAAGAGGCAGAAAAAGCAAATTAAACCCCACAGCGAATAACCTCAGCCAGCACTGAGCCTACAGCCAGGCACAGACACCCCCAGCCTGCAATTTGGGAGGGGAAAAAGCAAAAGGGCTTTAAAGTACTGCCCTGAACCAGAAGGAAAAACCAATTTTGGACCAGTTCAGCTTCATTCTGGCTGCCTGGGAGGTTGTGGCTGAGTCCTGCTGCCAGCTCAGCTCCCTGTTCCAGCCAGGATGGGCAGCAGCAGTGTTCAAAGTGACTCCAGGAGCTGAGGGACTTGAGATTTGAAAGGTCAGTGTTCCATGGCTATGGCCACAGAGCCTGGGCCAGCAGCAGGTTGAGAGTTTGAGGGTCTATACTCAACTCTGGGTTGGTTTATTGTTGTTGTTGCAAACCACCCATTTGCCACAAAACCCACTGTGAGAGGGTTTTCCACCCTGTTCTTTGGGAAAATGGAAATATTTCAATGGGGGATGCATTGATTCTCTGAATTCTAGAGCATCCCAGCCCTGATCCCCCTATGCTGAGCTCCAGGGGCTTATCCATCACAACCTGCACCTTCCAGAGGGAACTCTGTGTGTGATCCAGGCTGGAGGCAAACCCTCCCTCTCCCACCTTCAGGGCAAGCCTATGTGTTTTTGCTGGGTTTAACTCCAGAAAAAGCTGATTTCAGGATAACCAGGCACAGCTCTCAGGAGAGGAAATGCTCTCCCCAGGCCCCAGCAGCCACAAGGAAAATAAATTTTTTATAGCTATGTATAAATTAATCAATAACTGGACTTTGAAAGCTCCAGTTGAGGCTGACCAGCAGTTGGAGCATTGATCCTGCTGTGCCAGGCATCCCTTCCCCACGATCCCTGCTCACACCAGGTGCCCTCACCTTGTATCAGCCCTGGGATGGAGCCTTGTCTATCCCAGAGATGAATCCTGGCATTCCACAGTTATTATTAGCCCAGTGTTTATCCTGTCTAATTAAGGAGCTACTTGAAACCCTGTGTGGAAAACAAGCTCAGGAAGAGACAAGCAGCAAGGTGAGAGGGTTTGTTCCAAGCCCTGCAGCTCCTCAGTGAGATTCCTTGGAAATCTGAGTAGGAGAGCCCCTGGTGGGATGTCCTGTGTCCATCCCCTGTGGTTTTTCAGCCCCTTAACCTGTGTCTGGTCTTGCCTATGCTCTCAGGGTGATGCTACAGGGATGCAACAGCCCCCACAGGGCCAAGAGCAGCTCCAGCCACTGCTGCCCATGATGGAGAAGGGATCAGGCTCCAGGCAATCCTCAGGGTCCTGCTCCAGGCCAACCCCCCTCACCTCTCTGGGTTTCCTAATGCTCCGATGACAAATTGCACCTTTATTAAAGTGCATTTAGGAAACGCAGTAACCTCCTGCTATATTGCTTTGCCAATGCCATAAATAATTAACTAGGAGCTTGACTCCTGCTGCTTGCGAGGAAAATTACTGAGCATTAAAAGGGCAGTGGACTTGTCTTGAGCTCGTGGAGATGCAATTAACCTCCAGGAATGAGGCTGGAGTGAGCACAGTCCTCCCTATAATGGAAGGGACAGATTAGTTCCCACAGCCCAGAGCTGGATGGGACAACACCAGCCCTAAAATCTTTGCTCAAAGGCACAAGATCTGCATCTACTTTGGGTTTCTCACTGCTCTGACACTCACTGGTTTGTGCACATTAAAGCTATGAGCTGCTGGATCGTCCCAAAGCCTCTACCTCGCCTTAACACTTGGTATAATCACTTCCCTTCCCACCTCCTCCTCCTCCAGGTACAGCTCCTGGAGTACCCATCAAACCGTAAAGCATCCCTCATTCATGCTTGCAAAGCCCTGGGAAACTGCTGAATGAAGGCTGCTAATGAGGGGGAGAAAACAATTAAGCAGTAATTCCTGCTCTGGGATGGATTTTGAGCTCACTGTTCCCTGCGCTGACCCAGATTTGAAGGGAATTTCACCCAGGGGGGCTGTGTGCTTAGGTACAGCTCCCACACATCCTCGAGTACAGCTCCAAAATCCTCGGGAACAGCTCTCAAATCCTTGGGAACAGCTCCCAAATCCTCGGGAACAGCTCCCAAATCCTCGGGAACAGTTCCCAAATCCTTGGGTACAGCTCCCAAATCTTCAAGTACAGCTTCTCCATCCCCAGGTACAGCTCCCACATCCTCGAGTACAGCTCCCAAATCCTTGGGTACAGTTTCTCCATCCCCAGGTACACCTCTCACATCCTCAGGTACAGCTCTCATATCCTTGGGTACAGCTCCCAAATGCTTGGGTACAGCTCCCAAATCCTCAGGTACAGCTTCTCCATCCCCAGGTACAGCTCCCACATCCTTGGGTACACCTCTCCCATAGAATCCCTGGATCCCAGACTGGTTTGGATTGGAAAGGACCTTCAAAATCTCATTCCATGGTCAAGGACACCTTCCACTAGTCCAGGTTCCTTTTGCACAAGCTGAAGTTGGATTTAGGAGCTTCTAAGTGCAGAACCATCCCCAAGGCTTTAAGGGATCCACAGATTAAACTCATACTGGTTCTGCTCCTCCCCAGCCCAGGGCAGGGGGGCAGGAGAAGGTAGAGCCCAAGGGACAGCAAAGCAAAGCCCTCAGCATTGGTGGCAGCCCCAGCTGAGACCCTCACCTGAGGTGCTCATCTGTCTCACCTGAGGTGCTAATTTGCCTCACTTGAGGTGCTAATTTGCCTCACTTACTTGAGGTGCTCATCTGCCTCAACTGTGGTTCTCATCTACCTCGACTGTGGTTCTCATCTACCTCACCTCAGGCACTAATTTGCCTAATTTGAGGTGCTAATCTACCTCACCTAAGATGCTCATCTGCCTCACCTGAGGTGCCCAATTTCATTTCCAAACTCATCCCATTTCCACTAGACCAACGAGCAACTCTCCAACCTCCCCACCTCAAGCATAGTCAACCCCACTCCTCCCCAATCCCTTCCCCATCCCCATCCCCATCTCCATCCCC